CCGCAGGTTAGGAGACCCGAACTTGCGCATGACCAGCTTCCCCCCCTCATCCCCTCCAAGGTTACGCCAGGAACCAGGACAAGCCACGTCAGAATCACTGACCAGCTAGAATGCCGCCTGGGGTCATACGCCCACACCAGTGGCGTTAATTCCAACAGATATGTAGCTAGGGCCGAGGTGGATTGCAAATCTCAGGCTAAATTTCCAAGGTTGGGCTTATTGCCAACGGCTCGTATGCTTAGGTTGCTTGGGCTGGGGTATGTAAATAACGCTGGGTATGGCATCGAAAGATACTTTAAATCCGCTGATGAGGTGTGTGTGTCTGTGGGTGCGTTCACAGAATCCTGTTATCAAGTACATCCCATACTCCGTCCGAGTAGGGAGTACAAATTCTGGAATCCTGTGCTTGGCCCGATGATGCAATGTGGAGAAACTGTTAGCTCGCTCACCGCTCACCACGGCCAATGTGAATACAAAGAAATAATCTCGCATCAGCGATACCAGTGGTACCAGGTCTTATCTGGGGGTTTTGACGCCGATTGCGAGAACCCCTCCCCCTGAGCGTAGCCACTCAGCGGTCAATAGCGATATCAGGGCCACGGATATACTTTAGCGAATGGTCTGGCCACCAGGATGATCAGTCTAGTGTCACTGGGGGAAGACAAAGCTGCACGCTACGAAGACAAAGCCCCGTGGTTGGATGAAACCGCTATTATCGCTATAGAGCGACGCTGTGATTTGCTCGTTCGTTGAACGTGAAAGAGCTCGACTCTCCACTTGGTGTAATGAGGCATTTGCACGAAAATGCCGCATAAGAGGGTCAGTTCAGGAGATACTAGTGCACCCTGGGGCCTGTAAGAAATCCAGGTAGAGTTGTTATGCTGCAAAGCAAGATTGAAAGTTGAATGTTCGAAGTTGGCTGGCGTTGCTGGTACTCGTACACTGGTGGTACTCGATGCGGTCAGATCACGTCACGCGGCCGGTGGGTCATGGCAGAAAGATGACACTACATCATCCTCCCTCCGCTGCATTTACCCCGTCTTTGCATTGCTCTTTTTATGTATAGTCTTTGACCGCATTCCCTCCGCGAATTGTTTTCTTGCAATTGGATAACATCTTCTACATAAGTGGTTTTATGAATCTGGGTAAGTACATTGTCCCATGCGGGCTTATCTGCCTGCAGGGTGGTCCTTTTCTATGATTCACTTGTTCCCTTGGCCATTCTTCCCAAGACCAATCCTGCCTTGCATCCCTGCAAGTCATTCCGCAGGACGTGGACCCCGCTGGGCCTTCCATTTCTCCATTCTCCCTCTCGGCGAGCCATTTGACGACGGAGCAGAGGAGTAGATAGGCCCAAGCTTGCACGTGGCGTCGAGGCTGGAATCGTTGGGCCTAAGCTGATGATGAAACCTGCCAGCTTGAAAACGACGATGTCCGCCCCAAATGCCCCGGTGGTCCCCCCTCGACCGGCTCGATCTCCACAGCCACCTTCATCTCTAGACATGCCGAGAATTCCCCCACGTCCCTCGAACCGCCGTGCGGACCGATCGATATCCCCAATGCGGGACAGCTATGCCCCATCTCCACTTAATGGGTGGAATGGCCCGGCTCTGAGCCGTACGATCTCGAATGATGTTCCCCAGCGGCCACCAAGTGTGACAATACCGTCTTTGGGCGAGGAGGGTATCGAATATGCCGACCTTGATGTGGGAAATGTACCGGACAGTCATAATCAGGCTCCACAAGAGACTCGCAACGTTAGCAGTGACCTCAAGATGCATGCACCAAGACCTTCATTGCCTACATCGAGTGCTAAGGCTAAAGTGCAGGCGGTTACTCGCACAGACTCCCGGCAAGCCGCAGCGGCTGGACTAGGCCGGGAAACCTCCCCGGCTCGTGATGAGTCGGAACGTCCCAGCCGTTCGCTGCACTCCCGTGCAAGTGGTACCCGGGCCGAGTCATCTACTGCTTCGTCCGAACGTCGACACTCGGCGCAGATTGGAGAGGAGCCTGGGTTTCGAGTTTCCATGTACCCAAACGCGGGTGATGTCCAGGCACCATCCCCGAGTCCTTATCTCGAGCAAGGATCTCAACGGACAGGTCGTAATCACCACCGCAGTCGTAGTGCCCGAGACTCGTCCCTACCTCCCGGTAGTTACGGCCTTCATGGGCACGGTGTGCAGCATACCGATAAGTTTGAGAAGGCTTGGTACGACAAGCACCCCGACGAGCTGGTCAAGGAAGAAGGGCAATATGGCCCTGGTGTGGGCACACCTCGTCCTGATTGGGCCATGAGCAGGGACGATTTGAACAAAATTGTTCGGAGCGCGGACCCTCCTCCCCCTGGAAATGGTAGGCACATTCAACTCACCCAAGCTAGCAGAATGAAGACCTAATGTGATTTGTAGGCGACTCCCCCGGAGCTGTGGGAACCCCAGAGGAAGAAGTTGGCTACCTCGCCTCGGATGAATATATGCATCGCATGGCGTCGCCCCCACCTGATGCGCGAAATGAAAATCAGCCCGTGGTGGAGTCTCCTCTTCGTCAAATGAGCTTCCCAGTCTCAGAAACCCAGGCCAAAGAGCCCCCTAAGTCCCCGCTTCGTCACCGCCGGTCCAGCTCTCGTGGCAACCATCCTGACGCAGATGTGATTCATGTCGATGACCCTATTCACCCACTGCATCACCCCGATGGATTTGCTCCCACACTAGCAATCGAAGATCAAAAAACGGAAGTGGAGGAATATGATGACGAAGAAGAGCCCATTCTGGCGGCTGATCAAGTTAGACCCGAGTCGGCATATCTCCACCCCGCAATTTCGCCATCTTTCGAACATAGAGGAAGCTTTGACGACGATTACTACAGCCGACCGCCCAGTGTCTCTCATAGTCGCTCCAACAGCAGGTCGGCAAGCGCCCAAGGTGCGCCTATGTTGACTCGTTTCGACTCGCGTGAGCCTCACGAAGATACACATACTCCCCTGGAGGACGTAGAGGAGTACGAGCCTCTGTTCCCCGATGAAGAGACTAAGAAAGAAAAACCGCTGTCAGCGGCGGATCGTTTTAAGAAGCGACCAGAACAACACCGTTTTCCGAGCCAGGATATATGGGAAGACACCCCGAACAGTTTACAGCTCCACGCTACAGTGTCTACCCCGGATCTTCCTCGAAGTGACTCCGAAGCCTTTGAAACCCCGGAGCAAGAAGCCCAGCGGAGAATGAAAACATCAAAGATTGATTCACACCAGGTCGCGTCTCAGATCCTCGAGGGAGAATCAGTTCGAAGCGAAAATGAAAAGGGTCCAGCACGGCCAGACAACCTTAAGCAGCGATTTCCTAGTCGGGATATATGGGAAGATGCTCCTGACAGCCAGCAGCTGGTGACGACTGTTGAGCCCGCAAAAGACGAGCTGAGGAGCCCCGAGGTCCCGTCAAAGCCCGCAATTCCTCCACGCCCACAAAGACAGACACAGGCAACATCTCCCGCAGAAAAACGACAAGCACCCGTCATTCCTGATAGACCGAAGCCTCAGATCCCCACTCGTCCCGCTAGACCTAGCTCTCAAGCCACGAAAGAAACACCCGCCGAGGGCCCTGCTGTGCCTAAGGCGAAACCGGCAGTGCCTGCGCGTCCAGGTGGTAGCAAAATTGCAGCTATGAAGGCAGGTTTCCTCACAGATCTGAACTCTCGTCTGCAGCTGGGTCCTCAGCAAGCTAAACCCCAGGAGAAGGAACCCGAGCCTCCTGCCGAGAAAAAGCCGCTGAATGACGCCCGCAAGGGAAGAGCCCGTGGACCTGCTAGGCGAAAGCCCGCCGCAGAGAATGCCAATGCCAAGCTACCTACCATCCCGGAAGTCAAGATTACCGACTCATGGAATGTTTGGCAGATTGGTCAAGATGGCGGCGTGACTGTCGGTGACGCCAAGCCGATTGTGTTCTCTGCTGTCCCAGAAATTGTTGTCGAGCCCAAGGCTGAGGAGCCGAAGGAGCCCAAGATCGAGGAACCTAAGATCGAGGAGCCCATACGCCCCGAAACCGTGGAGAAGATGGCCACTGAACCCCTCAATTCAGCTCCGGAGCCACTGGCCGTGGCTGAGGAAGTCTCGCCGAGCACCATCGAAGTCCCCGAGAATGGACCAGCCGATTCCGAAGCTTCACCGACTGCTCAGCGGCCCATCGAGACCACCGAGCTTGCCCCCAAGGTGACGGCTAAGCAAGACTCACCTGAACCGTCCCCAACTGGACCGAGCAGTGTCGAACATCCCATCGAAACTGTGCCATCTCCCATAAAGATGGAGGAGGATATGGAGGATATGGCTGCGTTCGCTGATGGCAAGACGACATCCGATGGAGACATTCATCCGGTGCAGTCGGCTTCCTAAGCGTTTAATGTGTTGCTTTCTTTCCTGCGTTGTCTTCATCATTCATTTCTGTCTGTTACTACGAAACCCATGTCGGAAATACATGAGGACGAACGAGTTTGTTCTTACTATTCCCGCCTTTTTAATCTGCGATTCGTTGCCATATTATAAATTCATCTCAGGGCCCCGGGGACTTCGGGTGCCAATGTTATCCTGGATATTGATATTGATTTCTTGTGACTTTGACGAGTAGTTCATCCTAGCAAGATCCCACCACCCGTGAACGTACAGAGGCCATATGCCTCACTACTAAGTATTGCTAGGTGGATTTCATGATTCACCGAGGAATCTGTTGTCAAAACCCCAAGAAGTTCTACAAGTACTAGTCACTTGGGCACTTTAGTTGTTGGTTGGTTAGTGTACAAGACTACGTTGTGGAACGAAGCCCCCATCAATATTTTACCATTTTTTTTTGTGTATTTTGATCAAGGTACATGGTATTCTCTCAGTCTTGACTCCCATAATAAGGTTCGTTCTCAAGGCAAGCAAATTCAGAGGGGGCATCGGAATGGACTGTACGTTTGGACAATATGTGAGGATGACTAGCAATCGAAAAATCACAAGTTTGCGGGGAAAGCATTTAGCTAGCAGGGAGCCGGGACAAGTCGCCCTTTCCCTCCTTGACCCATTCAGGGTCAATCAAACGTTCACGCTCAGCATAAAGTTGTTTGTAGGCACCACGGATGGTTCCATCGCTAACGTGAGCTACCTGCGAGATCTCTTTGGCCGATTTGCCATCACCCATCAAGTATGAAGCCATGTAGATGCATGCAGCGACAATAGAGAGAGGAGAGCGACCAGCAAGGTCTCCCATGGTCGTAACGCGGTCAGAAAGTGCGGAAGAAACACTGGTGACCTGGAATGGCAGGCCAAGCAAGTTGCAGAAACGATTGCAGAGGTCGCTGGGCTTCGTGGAGGTAGTTGCAGTGTAGTTATTATTGGGATCAACTGTACCACCGCTGGACACAACTGCGTTGTTTCGCTCGATGTTCTGTGCGGTAAAGAACTTCTCCAAGGCCTTGTAGATGCGGCCGATCTCCTTCCTCGAGACCTTGGTCACAGCGAAGATTTCAGTGAAGGTTCGTGGGACCTTGCACTGGCGGCAAGCGATAAAAATGCAACCGGCGATAATCACATCTTGGGACTTGCCCTTGAAAGCCTTAGCATCGTCCACAACCTTGAAGAGGTATTTGGCGGTGTCCGCCACATTCTTGGGAATGTTAAAACCATCACACATGGCACCGATTTCCTTGTAGGCAGCCAGGAGGGCCTTGTTTGCCTTTTCGCTGGATTGTTTGTTCTGAGCACGGTAGAGGTCTCGAGCACGACCAGAGGCACCACTGGCGATAGAGGTTTCCAACTGATCACCGTTAAGAAGTGGGTTCATGGCATCACCGACACGGGACGGGTCATCGTTGTTCTGGTCATCGTTCGAGAAAGTACGCCATTCCGAGTGCATGTCAATCTCACGATCAGCGAGAACTAAGCCGCAGGACCCACAGACCGTCTCGTGCGAGTCGGGGAACTCGAGATTTGGAGGAACTTCCTTGCATTCCGGACAGCAGAGAGTGGCTGACAAATTCTTCTTCCAGGGAGCTGTCGCATCGTTCGCTGCGACGGTAGCGTTGGCCATCTTGATCGATATTTTGATGCTCTCAAATCGAAGCGATTGGCGTCTGGCGATACTCTTGGCCGTTTTCCGAAGGTTGTATTTCCGATTATAGAGGCGCAGGAACAATGGTGAATGCGTTTTGGCGGTTGTGACAAGCAACAAAGGACCGCCTATCGAGCGAAGACCCGATAGGGAATAAGAATCAGCTCTCTCAAAGTTGCAAGTCACTGTGTGCGCAGTCATGTTAGCCCAGTCATATCCAGATGAAAAGGCGAGGGCCCAGGTCACTGTGGTGTCCGCTGTGTAGGGAAGATTTCCCTGCGAAAGCGCCACAGTCTCTCATAAATGCAGTGGAGGCAGTCATTACCTTGCAGGTGAGTACCACTCGTTGCTTGATGATGATAACTCCCCGGGCGTGAAACAGAAAACTTCACAGGTCTGCGCTTTTCTTCTAGAGAAGAGATGCCACAGAAGCCTCGATGCCTCAAACTTGTCTGACCTATGAACCAGTCAAGGTCTCCGTAAGATGTGGGGATCTCACGAAAAGGGTCGTAGAACCTGACAGGTCGCTGCGAGCGCGCGGAGGGCAACGTCGAAAGTCGAGTTCCAGGGACAGGTTGAGGGTAGGGAAGGGGATCGAGGGCCAGGGGAGAGATGGGACAAAGAGAGGCAGAGTGAATTTGGTTGCGCGGACTCAGATGTTCCAGATATCATGTGATCAGGTCACGTGAGTTGACGCCAAGCCGAGTTCGTCCGAGCAGAAGTCGTTTTGAACGTTCGACACGGAACGACGGAATCAGATCCATCCTGACGAGCACCACCCCTCTTATTTCGGCTTCAGCGACCACTCTCACCGTCAAGATGATGTCCCAGTCTCTCCGCGCTTCGGTGAGTTGAACCTCAGCTATTGCGCTAGGTTTTACCGACTAACACGAACCTCCTCTTTCAGCGCTCCCTCTTCACCCGTGTCTCTCGGCAGCAGGTCCCCGTCGCCCGCACTTTCCTCACCTCCGCTGTGCGCCGCGGTATGTTCTCACCGTCTTTTCGACAAGCTTCCAATCTACTCTGCTCTCTACACCTAGTCGGCATTTGATATCTGAGCGCCCATTGACTGACGAAACCCCTCACAGCCGACCCTGTCCAGGACCTCTACCTTCGCGAGCTGAAGGCCTACAAGCCCACTCCCATCAAGGCCGGCGACGCCGACGCCCACGTCCAGAAGTTCGCTCTCCCCCAGGCTCCCGCTTCCCCCGAGGAGGCCAACCTCGCCGGTGAGCTCTCCGCCTACGAGAGCCAGGAGGTTGAGGTTGAGGGTCAGGCCGCCGCTGGCGAGGCCGCCCCCGTCGAAGAGTCCTGGTTCGAGGAGGAGGAAGAGACTCCTGCCGCTGCCCACTAGATTGCCCTTTCTTTTCTTTCGGCAAGGTCTGGGGAAATATGAGGGGACGGTTGTGCATGTCTTTGGTATTGACCAGATTGGCCGCCCCTCGGGTCCTGAAGTTTGTAAATTAGGCCACTGAAACATTGATCTTTATTTTGTTCCTGATCTGTCTTTCTCTCTCTTCGTATTTTCCTGGAGACCTGTTCATTTGCATACCGATGTCCTTCGGTATGAATTGCCTTGTATTTCCCATGGCATGCATGAACGCCAATGGCACTCACTCGTGAGATACGACTGGTAGACATTTGCCAAGGGTGGCTGTGAGATTGTAAATGCATATTTGTATCATTGTAATGTGATAAGTACTCTGAAATCTTTACTATACACCACTTATAGATATGTGGCTGGGTTATTGGTGTCACCAATGATGCCATGCAAGCCATGGCGGGGGTTAATACGTTGAATCTGATGTGTCGGCGGAATTGATTGCGTACGACCAAACCAGGTGGTCTTGAAATAGCGAGGTCTTCGGATTGATCTGTCTAAGTGAGGGCCGTTAAGAGGCGTTCGAGCTCAGGTACATACATAGCTCATTGAGAGAGGGGTTCATTCGGAAGAAGAGCTTCCGAAGACTGGTGTTGCCACGGATTGACACCTCCAGTATGTACGTACTAGTATGCTCCAGGTACATAGCAACGTTGCAAGAGAAACCCGTGGAAAGCATTGCATTCCTCATGAAATCTGACGTGTCAGACAATTTGTATTGAGAGATTCACAATCAACAATCGTTGATGTGACATTTCCGGTGGAATCCAGGGGCATGATCAATGCCGTCGGGATCATATCATTCTGCATTTCCCAGGTGAGAAACTAACTTTAGTCCGATCCTTGGAATAAGGAACTTTGTTTTGCAAAAAGAAAAGATAGATACTGTTTAGAGGTATACAGAGCGATATGGGGAAATACCTCTATGAATCTCTTGAAGGAGAGATAGTAGATGGAAGCAAAAAGTAATGACAAGAGTGGGATTCGAACCCACGCCCCCTTGCGGAGATCAGGAAATTGGAGTTAAGGTTGACCTTAACCTGACGCCTTGGACCAACTCGGCCATCTTGCCAATTGGATATCAGATCGCCCAATCTTTGGCTTGATGAAGCATTAAACCACCAGACCCGCTCAATGCGGCTCAAGACGGGGGGGGTTTTTTGGGATTTGTGTTTGTGGTGGAGCTCCATGCACATCGCGAAGGACTATCTATACATAACTTGATGTACAAACTTGAACCTTGCGGAGAAGATCTCAAGTTCATGGTTCATTCGGTGACGTATGAGTATGTATATACATACCCATGTGTATATTGCTTTTCTCTCTCTTATTTTTCCCCTGTTGCTTTTTCCCGCCAGATGTCAACTCGACCATTTCTCCTGTGGCGGTCAGATCGTCTCTGCCGGGTTTCACCGTTGAACTACTGATACACCTGCAGACCAAACAGCTCATCTCGACGACTCTGCCTGACGTGGACGTGGAACCGACGCGGGGAGTGTTTGCGTATTGACGTCGAGTTCTGGGTGCACTGGAGTAATCGCACAAAAACCAAACTCATCTCTAGATAACATGGCCCATCCATGACTATTTAAGCCTCTACCAACTGGTACCCCTGCAGAGCCGATTGCGATCGTTGGGTCTTCTGATCTATCCGGATTCGATTCACATGCATGACTCCCCATGATTCGATCGCGAATCTGCCTGGGTATGAGTGGACCCTGCAACGACTACAAAAGTGGACATCTTGTTCCTATACCTCCGCTGGATAAAAGGGGCAGTGCTAATGTCTAAGTACGAGTACCAAGCCCAGTGGCTGCCTAACAAATATCGTGGGGAGAATCTTACGGCAGTCAGGGTTGGCTGAACTTAAGTTCAGCCTGCAGTGCTGTGTTGTCCCTGTTCCTGTGTGGATTAGGGCTGACGATGGTGCCATTGAGGCGGCATTCCACGCATAAAAAGAATGTCAGAAGGCGGACCAAAGGAAAGGAATGGAATGAATCCACGGTTAGCCCCCCCCCCTCCCCCTCTCGGAGGTTGGCGGATCGGGTAACAGGTCAATATTGACATGAAAATGAACATGGACATGGACATGGACACTTGGGACAATTTCACCCGGAAATGCCGCCATTGGTCTTTTCCTAGCTTTCAATCGGGGCTGGCAAGACTTGACGATCCTCATGCCTTTCAGGACTTGTGCAACCTGTGGCAGTTTTGGGATTACGCGAGAGTGATGGCTACAGCGGAGCCATGGATTGGAAAGGAGGATCAATAGTGGAGTTGTGAAAGAGAAAGCGAAGAGGGAGAGGAAGAGGAAGAGGGAGAAATGGAGCTAGAGAAAATAAATGGAGCAATACGGAGTTGGAGATATAAAGAGACGAAGAGAGGGTGGGGGGGGCAAATAAAAAAGGGTGACCCAGTGTGTCTCACCTGAGGGGCGAAGGCTGTAAAGAGGAATCAGATAGAATAATCCTCAAATTATTAGGGACTCTAGATAATTTTAGTGTTTGTTAGAAAGTGCCGTCATAATTTTTGTTTTTGTCCTGCCACTGGCACTTCAATTTGGAAACTTCCTCCAACCTCCAACCTCTCTCACCTCACCTCTCACCTTTCACCTTTCACCTTTCACCTTTCACCTTTCACCTCCCCCACCCCCTTCCTCCAACCTTCAATTATTTCTCTGTCCTATATCTCCCTCACTTCCACACCTGGCTTCCCTGGCTTCCGCTTTCCCCGCCCAAGCCTCCCGAAAGACCGATACCTTAGCCTAAGGAGGGACCCTTGTTCGGCTCATCCACTCCTCCCCTCTCCTCCGCCGATCTTTCGCTCCATTGGCCCTTGGACTTTCGCGCAGAGTTGCAGACAGGATCGACCTATCTCTTCCCTACTCAGACCGACTCTCCATTTGATGTGTGTGCACACGTATTAACAAGATTTGGTCTCTGTGTGACTAGTCAAATACATCTGAGAGATCTTTCGCCCTCGGAACACTTGTTCGGACGCTTGCCGTGCGCCGTAGTCTCCACCTTGCAATGCAGCGCGTCTGAGGATCTGCCTGTTGAGATTCGCTTCGGTGTGCATGGAGGAGCTGGCCTTCTTCGACGCCTAACACATTCTCACAAGTCTGCGGTGCCTCCGGGGGGAAATGTCCGCACTTCGACAGCTGTTTCTCTGAGCGCTTCCCTTTCTCAAGACAATGTCGTCGCCTTCCCCAGAGGCGACAACTACTGCCAGCTATACGAACGATGACGAGAATTCCTTAATCTCTCGCGCCGCCAGTTACACAGACCTCCCTAGCCAAACAGCCGCCCAAACCCCCCCAACCGCCCTTGAGACGAACCTTCTCCGATTACGCCGTACCCATCCTGGCAGAGTCACCGACCAAGGAAAGCGTGGCTGCTGGAAAGGACATTTTACGCCGGACCTCTCTCCGTTCGAAGAACAAACCCCCTGTTTCGGTATCCCATTTCACTCTGTCCTCGTCAGAAGACCTAAAAGACTCAGAAGCGCAAGATGGCGCGGCCAAGGTACCACAGACCCGAGCGCCAGAACCGGCAGCCCGCCCTTCTAAGAGCCGTACCATGTCGGGGCGGATAGTGAGCCTGGCGCGCAAACCGTGGGGATCTTCGTCCCGATCACCGTCCCCTTCGGCCAAGAGAGCCAAGCAGAGATCAGAAGAACAATCACCGACGAGGTCCGGATCTCGTCAAACAGATGCGACAGACTCGGACTCAGGATTGCCCGCGCGGAAGCGAACAATTCTCTACAAACGACCACGGCGGCCCATGGTAGCTGTGGTGGCCAAGGGAGGGAACGAAGAAACCCCAGGATCGCCGAATAGCCCTTCTGGAAACTCATTACGACACCGTACATCGTTTGAAAAGTTTACTGCGTCTCTATCTGTGTCCACCCCGGTTCTACCCCCAATGCCCAAGGGAGCTGCAGAAAATGTTGCAGCATTTGCGAGCCACACAACCGACCATTCGCGGAAGAAGGACGAGCTCTGGGGCATATTTCGCGGCCTCGAGGCCGATTATCAAAAGTATGCCCAATATGACTAGATTTTGGTCTGATCGTTGCTAACCCGAAGCTAGGTTCCAATCGAAATCGAGCTCTCTAAAAGCTAATGTGATTCGTACCTCGCTCCTCCCTTTCCTCAGCCGTCACCACCTTCACGCATCATGCAAGAATCTCCGACCCGAAGATTTAGATCGCCGGGTCAATATCCTCAATAAATGGTGGATCGGGCTACTAGAGATGCTCAATGGGAAACACAATCAATCAATATCAGGGACCGACAGACCCGTCTTTCTTGAGGCAGTGGTTGGAATTATGACTCGGCCAGAGTGGCGCATTCCATTTCCTACAGCACAGCAGGGCGACGGACCAGCGGATTCGTTGAAGTACGCGTCAACTTCTGTATCGGAGACTTCCGAAGGATCTGGCTCATCTGGGTCTGATTTTTTGGTTGAGTCGATTCATCACAACATCCGGAATATCTTTGTCCAGAACCTCCTTTCTCAAATGGCATTCGTGGCGGAACGTATGTCTATGAGGCACGCCCCAGCCAGTCTGGTGGCATTCTGTGGAAAGGTTTGCGCGTACGCCTTCTTCTTTTGTCCGGGTGTCGCAGACATCTTGGTTCGTCTGTGGAACACGTCACCAAACATCTTCCGCCGCATCTTCGCAGAATCGGCGGCATCCAGAGCCGGGAATATGCGACCGTACACCCAGGAGCTTGCATTGAGCTTTCCGATGGCTCTTCGACCTCTAGCCTTCCATTCGCACGCGCCTTTGTTGCGGTACCTACGCCGAAAGCCCGAGGCGCCCTTAAACACCACTAACGTTCCCTGGCATGGTCCATGGATTGCTCGCTGGTGTGGACGAGATACGGATTTGTTCTTCGTTTTCATCAAGTACATCCACATTCTATACGCTGAATATTGCCCTCCCAAGACCGAGAAAGCCAAGCGGGTTTTAGCGCCAGGATTACTCTTGGTACAGGCACAGCTACTTGTTGTCATTGAGGACACAATTTATAAGCAATCACTCCACCAACCCGAGAGCAATAGTCATGCAGCAGCGATTACTTTCGACGACTTCATTGAATCACCAGATCCTTCAGCTTCCTCTCACCCTCTAGGGGTGGCAGGAATGGCCATCGGTCTATGGCAGAGAATCGCCTGATTATTCTTCTCAGGGACTTTTTATCCGAATCATCGTCTGAGCCAAATCGAGCTCGCTTACTCTACGCAGAGACATTTTGCGGGCTCCTCAAGATTGCAGCTCAGCGGATATCTTTGTTTGACCACAATGCTTGCTTCCTGCTCTGCGATTTTGTCGAAGAGGTCATTCCGATAATTACACGGTACGCCCAATCGATTGAAAGAGAATTGTTCGACTGGGCGTTTTGGCAGGATGTGTGCAGGCAAATGATGCAGAGCCATAATTCTCTCACTGAGGTGCGGGTGTTCTCCTTCATCTATTGCATTTGGGGCACTTGGACTACGACGGACGCGAGAAAGGCAAGCCTCTGTCTGAACTTCCTTCTTCACGAACCAGTTTTCTTTCATTATTTCAACCACTGGAGCCCGATGGTGCGTGCCTATTACCATCGCCTTCTATGCTGGAGAATGGGCCGGTTCAATGGGGAACCATCGGTAATCGATTCGTGAGTGTGCTATATTCCCGCTTTTGGGCATTTGAAACTAACTTTGTCCTAGTACGATATATGAAATGCTCTCCGAGCGATTATTGCAAGTATGGGAGTATTATATTGGATTCCAGTGCAAGGCAGAAGACGGGCTCATCGCTCCACTATCGTCTGCCCCTTGTACTCCGGCTCCGGGACGACGGATTATCATCATTCGGTGCGATAATCAGATATCTCCGGTGAATCTTTTCGTCTCATTTGACCGTGTTGTTCCACCGGTTCCACCGGAAAAGGTCACATCGCACCGGAGATCTGGTTCCTCAGACTCAACTGGTTCAGATGGTACGTCTTCGAAGAGACGGTGGGGACTTTTTAAGAACATGTTCAGCAGTTCGTCAAGCAACAGATCTCTTGAAGGCAGTGGAGGCAACAGCAGCTCGGACGAGTCTGATGGTGGAGGCCCTGAGCCTACAATGATGACGGAGAGCAGATGCCTGGAGCAGCACGAGCCGACACCAAATAACAGCACGGACGAGCTTATCCGACCCAAGACGCCGCATCAGCCATATTTCTTTAAATTCTCCTTAGAATGGATGGACCGGCCGCAATGGCCCACCAAAAACAAGCGCCTCTTTACGCCGTGTCTCCCCGTGGCATCGCAGCTGCATGTCCAGCACCGGCGTTCGCCTTCCAAGTCCTCTGAGTGCGACGCAGACTCCGAGCGTACATCAACCCAGGAGACTACCGGCGATGACGATACCCCGGAAGAAACTACAAACATCAAACAAACCACGACAGAACCTTCATCCAAAACTCTCGTGTCTGATAACCAGACCAGGACACCGACGACCAAAAACTCACCTCTCCCCGAACTACCCTCCCAACCTATCTACGACCATCTTGTGCCCAGCAAATACGCTGGTCGTGCGTTGGCCGAGTGGGCACACATTGTCTCCGAATGCGACAGCTTCTTCGCACGACGACGCGACGAAGGCGTTCCTTCTGACCGCATGGTTGAAACTCCAAGTCTAGGAGTAGACAGCTTCCGGAAATAAGGGCGTTCATTCATTCCACACTCTTAAACTCGACAGAGCCACCACCCATGGTTCAGTCGATCCCCCCAACGGCTCGAATATAGACGCCTCTGACTTTGCCTGGTAATGGGTATGGGAAGTCATGTGTATTAATCTTGGCTTTTTTTTCTTCTTTCTCTTTTTGATTCCTTTCTACATCAAACCGCACCGTGTGCATCGCGGGTATGGGGCATAGGGCATGGCGTATTGAGGGCCTTTTTTTAAACCATTATTTACCAGGGCTGGATTCCAAGGTTTTCCTTGTTCTTGTTGTCACTCTCATTTTTCTGCAGCCTTTTTTTCTCTTTGTTCTTGGAGCGAACTGCACACTTTTGGCCGTGGTAATCATAGTGAGACACCGAGCAATTCTAAAAAAAAATTCACTTCGAAATCTACCAGTTTCAATTTCTATTATTTGTAGATCTTAGCTAGAGAAAATAGATGACCCATTGCTATCAAGTTGATATCCCAGTCTTGCTTAGTTTAGCTCGTTGCTGCGGCCTTCTCCTCGGCAATTTGCTTGTTCAACAGATAGAGCAGGGGACCCTGCACATCTTCCCTGTCCATTGCAACTTCAACCAACCGTAATCCAGTTCCACTGTGCACACGCTCATTCTTCAGCACCTCCTGCAGCTCACCGCAGGTCCGCGCAGTGAAGACACTATTCGCGATCTGATCCTCGTCCGCGCCGAAGTAGTTCAGTGCCTGAGTGTGTCGCCAGAAAGGCACATCATTGTATGCCTGCTTCCGGCCATGAATGACCCGTTCAATGGTGTACCCTTCATTATTAATGATGAATATCAGAATATTCAACTTCTCCTTGATCATAACGCTAATTTCCTGCGCGGTCATCTGGAGACTTCCCTCGCCGGTGATTAGAATCGTCTGGTTCGAGGCACCGGTTGCTTGATTCAGGCTTCGCTTTGCAAGGGCTGCGCCAAGTGTAGCCGGGAGCATGTATCCGATTGAAAGCCAGGTGACGGCGGTAAAGAATCGGGAGTTGGGGGGTAATTTGCAGTGGCGGCCGCCGTAGGAGGCTGTGCCGGTCTCTGCGAGGACGATGTCATTTTCGCGGAAGATGGGGTTGACGAGGCGGTAGAAGTTATTTTGGGCGATTATGTCGCTGTCTTGAATATCGCTTGTGGTAACTTCAACCTTCGGAGGGCCGGTGACTTGGGTTGTGCGGGTGTTGTCTAATGAATGTAGGACCTTGGTTAGGACGCTGCTGGCGGACATGTCTCGGTAGGTGTCGCTTTCGATTTGGATAGTGTCGTCTTTGAATGAAATGGCGACTGCATCCTTTGGAACTGTCGTCCAGAAGTAGCTGTTCGTATCGCTGTAGTGTGGGCCAAATGTCAAGATTAAATCGGCGGCTTCGAAGTACTCTTGAGCTGGCTTGTCGCCGAATGCTGCCGCGTACAGACCATACACGTTCGGGTGTGATTCATTGACGAGGCCCTTTCCGAAGACAGTGGTCCAAGTAGGCCAATTGGTCTTTTGAATCAGGGTATCAAGCTGGTCCAAGATTCCGAGTGATCGGCTCTCGCCATCCACGAGGATGAATGGGCGTTGAGCACTGTAAAGACGCTCCAAGATCCGGCTGATAACTTTGGATTCGTGGGGAGGGCTTAGGGCAGACTGAACACGGATTGTAGAAGACTTGAGATTGGCAGATGAAACAGGAAGATCCGGCATATCATCCGGAATCTCAATATATACAGGACGCTGGTGGTACAGCGCCTGTTGCAGAATCCAGTCGATTTTGTCTGGGGCTGTGGTTGTATCCGTCACTTTGGTCTGAGCCGCAGTGATATGAATTGCCATGGCAGAGAAACGACCGTACTCTCCATCAGAGAAAGTATGATGCATCAACGCCCGTGTACTTTGAAGTGGGCGAGGTGGCGTGCCGACAATATGAACGACAGGTGATCTCTCTCCATAAGCACCTGCGATACCGTTGGCGGCAGATAATTCGCCAACTCCAAAGGTTGTGACGAGAGCTGACAGACCCTTGATACGACCATAACCATCGGCGGCATACGCAGCATTGAGCTCATTACAATTTCCCACCCAATGCAGGCCGGCGGGGACAACATAGTCCAACAGGCGCAGGTTGTAGTCACCTGGGACACCAAAGATGTCGGTGACACCGAGCTGAAGTAGACGAGTGAAGAGGTAATCCCCCAACTTGACAGTATCGGAGGCCATAGTAGTGGGATATTTATGATAATGTGTTGTATAGAAGAGTAGTTGTAGTAAGGAAGGTCTGGAGCGGCGTCTAGTCCGCTGTTGGTTTTATACCGCGGCCGCCCCGCTTTCCCGCCTTTCAAGTTTCCAGTGACCAACCACTGGCAGTCCCCCTCCCTGACTCTCTTCTCCAACTCTTTTATCGCCGAGCCGTCGGTAGCCGCACGCCGAATGAAGTGCGAGTGCCACTGACTCGACTCCCTTACCCTGCGGAGAAAGCAGCCAATGGTCATGGCGTCGCGACTGGCGGCCTGCGAGGCCTGTCGTAAGTCCAAGTTGGCTTGCGACCACCAGCAACCAGTCTGCTCGCGCTGCCAGGCCACCCAAGGTGTGTGCATCTACCGCACTGCACCGTTCAAGCGTCGGAGAATTGAAAAGCCAATGTGAGGAGTATTCGTGAAACTGTTCATTTTACTTAGATATTATATATTGACATTCAATCAGCTTGAAATCTCCCGACCCATCACCATCTTACAGCCCTAGGCGTAACCCATACCCCAATCCTGGGTATTTGGGACTATCCAGCCATGCTGCAATTTTCAAGCACATCACTCCAGACGACCACAGCGCTGGGTCTCATGCTGTAGGCCCTGAAGTTGGAACCGAACCATGGATTGGCGACAATCATTTATTGCTACAGGGGGCAGATGTCTTGAAACATCTGCTGACCCTGTATTCATTATTGTCCATGAAAGAATTGGTGGAGTTCTGGCTGGCAAAAGGCACAAACCTTGCACTCGCAGAGCCCTTTGTCGCTCAATGCGCTGAAAGCGTCAGCCAATTATTTGAATCACACGACGAGAGCTGGCATCTAGTCTATGCGAGGCGACTGTTGCAAAATTCGGCACGCCCATTGCAGTTCGACGCATCTACCGATCTTGCCGGCTTTTCGAGCCAATTTTTAGATCACTATGCTCGATGGGAGACCCTCGGGATCTTCTTCGCGGCAGTGAGTCGTGCGACAATTGACGTCCCTTTTTTCCCGGCTCTTTATACAACCGAAGAGCAACAGTATACTCTTCGCCGGTTGGCTACGAAGTTGTGTGATTTCTCTCTAGAGATATCGCTCTCGCTAGACTGCCTCAATGATCTGCAGTTAATTGTGCAATACGAAAATTTCATCGTTCACTCATATGTCGACGGTGATCAAAGTAAGTCTTTTTTAGTCCGTTGGCTCCAACTATCAACTAACCAAACAAGGCTATCATTCATGGCGTAAACTTGGCGACGTCATCTCCTCGACCTTCGCTCTCGGCTACCATGAGAATACTCAGGCCAAAACGGGCATACCGCCATTTCTTGTAGATCTGCGCAAAGCGGCCTTTGCTCGAATCTACTCTGCAGATAAGAATATTGGTATTTTCCTAGGTCGACCGCCAAGGATGAACAAGCGCTTTTGCCACTTTCAGATTCCATCTTGTGATTTGAATGCGCGATTAAATGGCAGCACTAATGATTGGGACCCTGATACCACAGTGGGATATCGAGCCGATACACGCTGGTCGGCACTTTGTGCTTCGCTCAAGGAAGAGATATGGGAGCTTCTCCAGGATAAAAGCGACGCTTCTTGCGTTGCAAAGGCTAGGTAGGTCTCCTCATTGAATCGACGGCGGGGAATAAAAAGATCAACCAAAAACTAACTAAGCTCCTTAACAGTGAAATCCAGCACAAAGCTGAGGAACAGTGGAAGGCTCTACCGAATCACTTCCGGCTCGAGAGTAGTCTCAAGCAGTGCGTCGGGAGTCCCTTTGAGCGAGACTTTCTCGCGCATGTACGCCTCAATCATCTCCATGTTCTCTTCTTACTCCGCCTATTGCTCCTCAATACCATGACGGAACCGGATATCCCCATTATCGAGACCGCAGGGCAGATGCTGGCTCTTGTGGTAGAGGCCATTCTTCTTCGTGATCAGCTGACAAACTCCGGAACCGGATTGATATGGAAGGTATGTCTTTCCCGTCGTGAAATGCATATTGCCCTGGCCATTCTTTATTGAACTCTGAACTAGGTCGCGTACTACGGACTTCCAGCAGCAGGGATTATCCTTCTTGCATTACTGAAACAACAGTCCCACGCTACGCAAAGCATTTCGCGTACCAAGATTCTCCGAGATCTGAGTGTCTTCGTGGCCGAGGTCCAAATCGGGACCATAGTGAGATCCGGAGATCCAAACTTCGCATTGCTATCTCGCGCGACGCAAACCATCCAACGATTTTTGGACTCTTTTCATTCGGATTCGGTACCGCCCCCGGCGCTTGAAGCTGGCCATGATGATGGGAATGAGGATTGGGCTGCGCTTTTGAGCCAAGATCTGTGGGACTATGAAGCTGGATTCTGGCAGAGCTTGGCAGACCATCCGTCTCTATTGGCGATTGATCCTCCGTTGCCTAATGTATAGTTGTAGGAGGCCTTGAGAACATGATACCCAAATTTAAATTTGTATGAATAATCAAATAAAATGTCATTTCAGCTACCATAGCTCATCACTTATTAACAGGTATCCATGTCCCATCCGAGTCGCTAACTAGATCCTAGCGCCTCCAGGGCTTGCCGCTGAGATTTAGAAGATCATTAAGCATTGCTGCTGTCCTGCTTGCTAGCCCTTCTCTCATTTCGCTTCTTTTCCGACCACGGGAAGTGAATAACAGGGACAAGGAAGAAGCTGTTACTGCTATCTGCGATTCCAGCAAGGGCATTGTACCAAGCCAGGAAGGCACCGAGAAGGGCAAACAATCCACCAGCTTCAAGAAGCTTGGAGTTTGGAAGTCCTTCCACGGTCGGGAAAAGTACCCCAGAGCAATGAGTAGGATAGCAAGGTCGACAAAGAAGAAGAGAGAGAAGAATGCCACGGTGGATTTAACCGTGCATAACATAATCAGGAAGGTAAAGATGAACCAGCCCTGGTGAGAATTAGCTGATTTTGCTCTGCGCCCCACGACAGATCGTACTAGTAGGTCATAGGAGAGGCAAACCATTAGGTATATCGCAAATGCATTGTAAAACATAATCGGCGAGCCATTGTCGGCTTCAATGAGAGCTCCTTCAATATTGAATCCACCCGGGATGAAAGTAATCGCAAGAGACATCCAGAATCCTCCATACGAGGAGAGCACAGTGGCACCGAATGTATTCCCAATGGCCATTTCCCTTTTGAGGAGAATTGATGTCAGACGATGTGCTTTTTTCAAATCATCTCGCGTTGTGAAAACTTACCACATTCCAGCAAGAAGTTGAACTAATCCACCATATGCCAAGGCAGGGCCAACGATCATATTAGGCTTATTCACACCGCGCACATCCATCTGGACACATCCCAGGACAAAAGTCGTCAAGGCGAAGCCGCACAGTCCCAACGGGGCGGGATTCGCGACCTTGCGGTTCTTGGGATTCTTGTATAGACCTGGTTGGAATTCGCCACCGAATGCTGGAAGACGACTTTCGGCGGTGTTGATGTGGGATAATGGGCCATACCGACCGATGTCAACATCGTCTGTGTTTGAATCGGAGGCAGAAAGGTTATTCAGGGGCTTGGTTGTGTTGTATTTGGCATTATTGGATGCCATGGTGAATAGTTGTATAGGGGATTGGGATTGAATGGAAAGATACAAGGGAGAAAAAGAGGTAAAAGAAAAGAAAATGGCGGAGGGCTGGTATCCGGTCGAGACAGGATAAATCAAAGTTGACTTGTTATTCAATTGAGAGTCCAACTTCTTCAACCTTTATAAACATCCCTACGAGTACGGAATCAACCTCCTCTGGTCCGCGACACGCAAATACGCAAGTGGTCCCCTCGTCACCAGAAAACCAATGAGAGTCGCAAACTTGAACCAAATCAATTTTAAAGACCCCAATAACCCCAAAATTATACCATCAATTCAAACTATTGGAGCTAGAAACAGCTTCCGTACGACCGTAGGTCCAAATAGCGGCGTCATGGAGGAGCACAGATCTTGAAAATTAGGGGGCGAATGATCCACCGCGAACGAAGATCTGCGGAGACCCTAGCTTGGGGAAATGCGGAGAAACCCCAGATGAGTGGGCAGTGAGGATTTGGAACCGTAGATGGTTGATGCAATAGAGTTGGTTTGGTGGGGATCGGAGTCGACCTCGGTATTTCTTGGGGGGTGTTCCGACAACAGTGGACATCCCGTGGAAACTTAATTGTTGCCGAATATTTGAGCCGATTTGAATCTTATATCCTTGGTCGAGGGGTATTGGGTCTTGTGGGCCTTGGTTGCCCAGTCTCTAGCTAATCCCTGTCTTGAGTTCCAAGTCTAAATGGACCTTTGCGAATGAGGGAGAGGCCAATATCTACGTAGGCGGCATCGTTCCAGCTGCACGTTTCTCGATGAGTGTACTTATTCAATTCAAGCAGAGATCTAGTGTCGCCGCTATCAAAATAATACAAAGAAGCCCCATTGGTATATGACACGCCAAAGAAAAAGGTGGAAGCTTTCCAAATATGCAAAGGTGGGGAAGATGAGGATGAGAGGGGGTCCAGTCGAGCTAGGCTGTACAATGCTCGAGTTGGACATGGACGGGAGATGCGAACAGAAAAGGCGAAGGAGTGTGACCAAAGCGTAAGGGGTATGCACAAGAGGAAAGAAGAGGGTGTGAGGTGGTCGTAGCAAAGGGAAAAATGTAAATTACAACTAGGACAAGAGCTTGCCGCTAGCAAGGTCAACTGTGTCAGCAACCCGATCGATCCAATACTGGGCGAGCGACCAATTGCCTGTGTTGATACTGTCCCGAATGGCGGGGAAGATTGAGGCATCGTATCCAGCCCAGAGTTCGGGTCCGAAGACGACATGTCGGAATTGAGTGCGATTGGGAATCTGCATTCACACGTTTATTAGCTTAGGCTTCAGGGGGGAAGCAATCGATCCAAAACTTACACCACCGCCATCGGCTAGATCCAATAGATGGGTATCGAAGCTAGCCATCTGCATATTGTGGTTCACTCGTTGAATGGCCATGACATTACTTTCATAGCCACCAGAGCCCCACACACTATCATGCCATACGCGAGTCCATTCCTGGAACTGGGCGGCATTGGCCTCTAGAGTTGCTGCAGCCTCATGCATTCTCTTCGTATTGACGTTCGCTTTCTTAGATTTAGCGAATTCATCCAAATCCTTCACCCAGCCGGTCACATATCGTCCATAAGCTTCCATGTCGAAGGGGAGCATGGGATTCTCCGAAAGATCCAGCAGGAGAAGACCCCAGAACTGGGCGAGAAGCTTGTGGTACTCGAAGCCAGGGTCACCAAAATTTGACATCCAATCAAATGATTCATAGCAGCTGTGGTACGGGAAGGGTTCCCCCTCGAATCCAAAGTCGATGCTCGAAGTGCCGGCAATGTCTTGGAAAGCGACATAGTCACTACCGGCGCCAAGAGGATCGATCTTTTGGTTCTTTTCATCCCAGATATCCTTCAGTGTCTTATTGGCAAATGGATCGGAGATACGATTCAAGATCGACATCACGGTGTGCTCGAAGACCGGCGACCCTGCGACTCGGAAGTTGGGGCCTGACACGCCCACATCTACGTTGAGATAGGCGTAGGCGTTGGCGCGGAGCTCGTCCACTTCCTTCTCCACGTGCTCAGTGGAACCGATGAGATTATACTCCTCACCGTCCCAGCTGACGAACTCGATGGTCCGCAATGGCCGCCATCCGTAGACGAGCAGCTCACCAAAGACGCGAATGAGCTCCATGAAGACGGCGGTGCCACTGCCTGGATCAACACTACCCAAGCACCACGAGTCTCGGTGGTTTCCGATGATGATCTTCTTATCTTGCTCCTCCAGTCCAAGGATTTTGCCATGGATATTGTAAATTGGCTGTCGTTCTTCTTCATCCTGCAGATTCATTAGATGAACGGTCGGGGAGTCCTGGTCCCCTGTCCACCAGCCTTGAATCTTGGGGACCCCGCCAACCCATTTCTTCGGGACCTTAGAGCCATGGCCTTCTAGAGATTGAAGAAGTCTTTGTGCATCGCGCCAGGAGATGGGCAGACTTGGAATTTGTACCAAGGCAGGACTATCTGCCGGAGACATCCTGTCCTTCTCTTCTGGGGTGGACGCGTAACCGGGGGTTAGCACGTCACCGACAACCTGAGACATCAGGCTGACACCGCCCCTTTGAACGCCATCTGTGGGCATATAGCGACCCTTCGGGTAAGCTGGGCCATTGACAAAACCGTCCTGGGACGGATCGGAGTATATGATACAGCCTGCCGCGCCAGCGAGCTCGGCCGATTTGATCTTCAGTGCACGATCCGGTTGAGTTCCGTAGTAACGAACGAGAGCGATAGAGCCATTTAATGAGATACCTCGGTCGGCGAGTAATTGGAAGTCTTCGCGGGAGCCAAAGTTGGCGTATACTAAGGGGCCGGTAACGTTTCCTGACTTGGAATGGCCGTGGAATACCGGGGTTTCCGAGTCGTTTTCCTCGAGAGTCGCTTCCCAGATCAGTTGAGGCGGATCGATGATCGCCAGCTTGCGACCATCTTCGCGAGGGTAGTTGAGATAAACTTGGAATTCCTCCCGCTGGATCTCATCGAACCCCGCGCTATGCATCTCCTGCTCGATCCACTCCGAGAGGACGTAGCTACCCTTGGTACCCGCGATGTGAGCAAAGCCCGTGACCCGCTTCAGATTCTCGATGATGTTTGTCTCGTTGATATGGCCCTGAATGAAGTTCTCGACGGAGGACGCGCTGTACGACTGACCCATGACCATCCGGCTATTGAGATTGAAGATGTCGCCGATGAAGAATACGTATACCAAGGAGACGACGAGCAGCAGGGCAAACATTCGGAGGACCATGATACAGCCTTGGTCGCGGAAGCGTTCTCGTGCATTACTCAGATCGATGGTTGGGCGGGTGAATCGCGGGAGGCTCGGGAGGTATCGTTGCAGGGGCCGTTGAATTGCGGAGAGGGTTCGCGTCAGACTGGAGAAGCGTTTCGAGAACCGCTGTCGGAGTTGGGTACGAGAACTTGAGGAAGCATGAGCGGAGTCATCGACTTCCATCTGATCGACTTCCCTCCGCAGTTCGTCCAGCGATCCCCGAGCCGAGCCCGAGATGGAGGAGGCGAGATCATCGAGGCTGTTCCGGACGGATTCGACGGTGGGCGGTTGGTAATGGGAAGTATTGTGATCAAGCAGACCCTGTCGTTCGGTTTCACTGCCTTCATCGAGATTGGATCGCGAGGAGGATGGCTGTGTGGCTTCTTCGTAGGTGGGGATGGGGAGAGCTTGGTAGTCGAACTTATCGTCGCCCATGTTGAATTGTAGACTCCCAGGTGGAGCCGTGACAAGCGAAGGACACGGATGGGAACTGGTCGATCATGATATGATTTAGATGGAAAGAGTGAGCGACATGATCCCAGAGGGAAGTGAATGTACGGAGTAGATAGATTCTAGAGAGAGACAGGGGGGGGGGGGGAGGAGAGATGGAGATGGAGATGGAAGAGGAGGCGGAGGGAGAGGCGGAGGAGGAGAAGGAGAAGGTGGTTGCCAGCCAAGACCAATCAATGTCACTGCCTGTGCCTGTGCCAATGCCACTCCTCACTGATCTCCTTTTAACAACCACGATATTCCCCTTCTACTCTGGACAATCACCTCACCAGAGAGAGGGAGGGAAATGAAGTCTACATCCAGACTGGACATTGGATTGTCCAAGTCCAGACATTGCATACTCCGTTAGTTAGACCGACCTACTCCAGGGCGATCACTTCCCGGCGCTGCCCAATTATGGGGACCAAAAGTGTTTGGTCCACTCACAGGTACAGGACAGGAACAGGCATACTGTACACAGACACAGACACAAACACAGCACATACACAGATGACCGCAAACCAGTCATTTCTACACCGGACCGCCACTGATGTTATATGACCTGAGGCCACGCGGAAATGGCGGATGTCACCATGTGGGCGATCCACCCATGATGAGGAGTTTCAGGGAAATGTTGCAAGGTGGTGGATACGGACCTGGACCGAGATAAGATGGCCAAGTGCATTTTGCAGTTAACTCTATAGTTTGATTAAGTGGTGGGGGTAGGCAAGTGGAATGGGAATGGTACAGAGGGTACATTGTAGACTGCAGACGGGGCGGTGAGGAGATGCTTGTACTGTGTATACTGCAGTCTACTGCACTATAGATGCAGTAGATCTAGTATAATATGTGTCTATAGTACGAGTACTATAGAATAGAGGAACTCAGACCTAGGGTATACACTCTACGTGGTACTCAACATACTGCAGAGACTGCTATATCATCATGATCATATTGAATGCATGTCCTCTGTACTCTGTACTCTGTACTCTGTATACTCCGATTTCCGGCTGAAAGGAAGTTTCCCCCACCGCCAAAAAAAAAGTGCACGGTGACTGATCGTACAGTGTAGATCCGAGTACACAACAACCTCCTTTTTCCTTCAGGGCCCGCCTTTTCTTTTCTTTAAACAGGCACGCTTCTGCTCTCTTCTCCTCCTCATCTTCAATCCTCCTCCCCCCTTTTTTTTCTCTCTGCATTTCGTTGTGCCGCTTTGTCTATCCTTTGTACTTCGTGCTCCGATTCCTTCTACCCCTCCCCCACCATGGCTGCTCGTCCCCAAAACATTGGTATCAAGGCCATTGAGGTCTACTTCCCCACTCAGGTTCGTTCCTCTTTCTTTGATTCCAATTGCAAGCACTTGGGGTTTCCTCCGTTTTTTTCGTTCAAGACTAACCATACCACCTTCCACAGTGCGTCGACCAGGTTGAGCTTGAGAAGCACGATGGCGTCAGTGCCGGAAAGTACACCATTGGTCTCGGCCAGACCAAGATGAGCTTCTGCGATGACCGTGAGGGTGAGTTTTCTTTCTCTGCTAGCAATTGTTTAAGATGCACTCCACAAAGAACCCATCAAGCTAACCTCTGGTTCTCCTCGCAGACATCTACTCAATGTCCCTGACCACCCTCGCCAACATGATGAAGAAGTACGACGTGGACCCCAAGTCCATTGGTCGCCTCGAGGTCGGCACTGAGACTCTCTTGGACAAGTCCAAGTCTGTCAAGTCCGTCCTGATGCAGCTGTTTGCCCCCTACGGCAACACCAACATCGAGGGTATTGACACCGTCAACGCCTGCTACGGTGGTACCAACGCCGTCTTCAACAGCATCAACTGGCTCGAGTCCTCCGCCTGGGACGGCCGTGATGCCATTGTCGTCTGTGGTGATATTGCCCTGTACGCCGCTGGTGCTGCCCGCCCTACCGGTGGTGCTGGCTGTGTCGCCATGCTGATCGGCCCTGACGCCCCTATTGTTTTCGAGCCCGGTCTGCGTGCCTCCTACATCACCCACGCCTACGACTTCTACAAGCCCGACCTCACCAGCGAGTACCCCGTCGTTGACGGTCACTTCTCCCTCCGCTGCTACACCGAGGCCGTCGATGCCTGCTACAAGGCCTACGGCACCCGCGAGCAGACCCTGAAGGCCATCCAGAACGGCACCAACGGTGCCACCGAGTCCAAGACCGGCATTGACCGTTTCGACTATATCCTGTACCACGCCCCTACCTGCAAGCTGGTCCAGAAGTCTTTCGCCCGCATGCTCTACAACGACTTCCTGGCCAACCCCGCCGACCCCGCCTTCGCCGAGGTCGCCCCCTGAGCTCCGTGACATTGACTACACTGCCTCTCTGACCGACAAGGCTGTCGAGAAGACCTTCATGGCTCTGACCAAGAAGCGCTTCGCCGAGCGTGTGCAGCCCGGTCTTCAGGTTGCGACTCTGTGCGGTAACATGTACACTGCTACCGTCTACGCCGGTATTGCCAGCTTGCTCAGCCACGTTGAGTTCTCCCCAACGAGCCCAAGCGCATCGGTCTTTTCAGCTACGGTTCCGGCCTGGCTAGCTCCCTGTTCAGTGCCAACATCGTTGGTGACGTTTCTCACATCGTCAAGAACCTGGACCTGAAGAACCGCCTGGAGAACCGCACTGTCCTGGACCCCCAGGCTTACGATGACATGTGCAAGCTGCGTGAGCACGCCCACCTGCAGAAGAACTTCAAGCCTTCCGGCAAGACCGAGACCCTGCAGTCTGGTACCTACTACCTCACCGAGGTTGACGACATGTTCCGTCGCAAGTACGAGGTTAAGGCTTAAACGGTGTAAAAAATTCTTTATTTTCGCCATTTCTTTTACCGTTGGACATCATGACCTTTTTTTTTAGACGGTTCCAGAAAAGATTCCCCCAAAGCGTTTCGTGATGATTTTGCGGCCTGATAGAGCACGCAAGGAAAGGGGAAAAAAACTCACCCTTGCGTATTTTTCCTTTCTTTTTCTTCTCTCACATTTCTTCTGCGCTATGTTTTTAATTCCTCCCTTATTTACTGGGATGGATGTGACGAAATAGGCTGGCTACTACAGTACTAAGTAATGATATGACATGTGTGTATGCACAAAATCCTTCTTAATTTTTGTCCTTTCTTCTTCTTCCTCTTTGTCTCGGATCGCTTGCTTGCTTTTCTGAAACGTATAATTAGCTGCTAATTATGGGACATTTCCCAAGTCTCAGGAACCGGGCGCTATGTGTGACGCCGATCGCCCGGCGCGTAGTCGAACTACGCACATCTCTGTAAGCGCCGAGAGACATCACACTTCACCTTCACACCTCACACTTCCATTTCCCCCATGAACTTCTCCATCTTTCCCCACTACCTTTCCCCCCTGCTTCCAATGCACCCCAGTACTCGCCGAGCTATTTTTATCCTGCTGCCAGCTAACCGCCCATTTCCCACCATGGCGATTCCTGAAGCACGCCGCTTTCCCAAGGAGCATGCGCCTCCAACAGGTGAGGCCGCTAATTACCTAGGAAATGTGACCTAATTGTTGCTGAATTTAGAAGCGTTCGCTCTTCTTGCAGCATGCTAGTCCCAAGAAGGGATCTGAAGAATGACATCGAAGCTGTTGCAAAATATAGCAACACTTTAACGCGCGACTGTCCGCTGAAACCACACTATGCCCAGACGGAGTCCCTGATGGAGGTTTCAGTGTCCCCTGTCGCGCGACTTCAGGCACAATAGTCGGCAGTTTCGCGTTTCATCGCGTGGAAGCTCCTCTAGATCGGAGACTAGGATCCCAAAAAAAGAATAGGAGCCTCCGTTGGCGTCCCTATGGACTCCTTCTCCATGTTTCAGGTTATTCTGATCGCCTTGGGTTCGTCAGTGGGCCCTGGTCTTAAGATATGCTCCCATGCTTGGCTTGTTTGAGCCTGCTGATCGTTTAACATTTAATATCCAAACGTTCTCCTTCTACGTCGTGTCTCTGTTTCTTCAAGTGGACGGTCTTCAATATTGAACGGCCTACTCGGTCTTTACATTGGTCATCGCCATTGACTTACATTCGTTATCACGACATATCCCAACAACATGGCTGTCGAGATGTCAAACAAGCAGGGTCGTCGTCCTCCAACCATGTCGCTGGAGTACGCTCGCTACCAGCCGACAACACCGCCAGAGCTTCCTCTTGAGGAATGCATCGGCTCGGCTCATAGCCGCAACGCATCCAATTCATCTATATATTCGAGTGAATCCTCGCCTTGGTCTACTATTACTGGCAACACAAGTCCTACCACATCACCAACTCGTCATCATCATGGCCCGGCTCTCTTGCCGAAGATTCGGCCTCAAGATGTGGTGATCGAACCTGTCTCTGCAGGTGGACCTCTGCGCCACCGTCGAGTCTTGTCCAACACACGAAACCCTCCGGGATTTGTCCCGTATCCAAGCAGGCCCCCAGTTCAACGAAATAGGGCAGGTTCCAATAACCAAGCTCCCTTGGCTTCTCCGATCTCCCCAATTATCACTACTGGCCATGGAAGCTCTTCCGCCTTATCGTCTCCGGTGACAATCACCTCTTCAAGCAAGCGAAAAGCCGGTGGAGGGCATTCTCGCTCTGTCTCTACTTCCAGCATCGATGAAGCTACGCTGAGCCGTTATGGCTATCCCACTTATCGCCAACTTCCCAAATTTGTACCGCAGATGCAGTCACAGACGACCCCCTGCACTCCATGCACACCGGTTACTCCTGTAACACCAAACATTGTTGTGTATTCGTCATATCCTCAGGGTCCACCAAAGTCCGAAGCACCTCAGCGGAGCCCTGTGCGCCCACTTCATCCATTGACGGTTCCAACACCGCAGTACAGCTATAAGCAGACTTCTTCAGCCCAGCAATCTCCGAAACCTCTACCTAGTCCCCAGCAGGAACTTATCTCGCCCTCAACCAACCTGATGTCGTACCTAACTTCTCCTACTCAAGCAATCAATCTTGTTCGCAATGTGAGCGTTGTCCCAACTCGTGGTATGCACGATTATTTCTGGTGGGATATTCGCAATCTCCGCAGCTGGACATCATTTTCACTGGCTACATTCGATTCAATTCACGGACTCACCCAGCTTTTAAAGACGGAAATTCCGGCAAATCTTGCTCCCCCGGTTGCAGTGGCCCCTTCGCGCCTGGCCCCTGAGTCTGAGCCCGGTCTTGTCAGCCTTATTCGCGACCTATATGCGCCACGCGTTAATGCTGCCCTAAAAGTCTCCCAGGGCCCAGATCACCTCCAATTATATGCAGCACCAGATATGAGACACACCGGCCACAAGAACCACGGCCATCCTCATTTTCTGGCAAACTATACCAATGATACAGACCACACAAGCGCCGGTCTTCCCCGCGGACGACTTGTTGGTATCGTTAAGAGCTTCGACCGCTGGAACACGGGAATGCGCAACGAGGCACCCCACCGTCGTGTGGAGTACTTGAACGGCCTAGCCCATTTACAGAGATGCATGCGCGAGCACTCCTGCCGGTATGGCTTTATAATAACCGAAATAGAACTAGTCTGCGTCCGGGCAGGCTGCGATATGGGCGGCGACATTCCATACTTCGGCTTCCTCGAAATAGCCGCTTCAATCCCACTCAAAACCGCGGCTACGCAGCAGCCAGCCACACGCGAAGCACCACCCCTAGCAACGCCCATCAGCGCACGATCATTCTCATCATCTTCCCATGCATCGTCATCATCGATCAATTCCCGCCAGCAGTCTCCAGAATCAGAGTTTGATGATGGATTCTCCTCAACGCCCATGACAGCGAGCCTAGCATTATACTTCCTGCTCATGCTGTCAAAATCACAACCGCTTCCCGACCAACCATCTGCCCACCTCAACGTTGGCGGACCGGGAGCTTTGACACGGCAGATTATCCTGCCCGAAGCGAAAGATAAATGGATTCCCGAGCCTCAGATCGGTGAGCGTCGCGATGCTAAACGCGTGCGTGGATGGGTCTGGCCTCAGGATGCTTGGCATCGTCGGGAGGGTGGTGGTGTTCCTCGATCGAGGAATGCAGACGGTAAGAAGAAATGGCATAAATAGGTATCGGTGTATGGAGTTGGTTGAAATAGGCGTTTGGGTTTTGGTGTTGATGATGAGCATTACGAGTGTTATGATTTTCCTTGACTTCTTCTTCTCATCTTTTGGTTTGGCACTTTTCGGTTTTATTTATTTCTTTTTCTTGAGTATTCCTTTATATCACATTTTATCTGCGAGGCGGGGGTCCTATTTTGGCTGTTTTTTCTGCGTTGTTATTCCCCCTTTGTGTTTTTCTATAGTAATGTAATTTGCTTTTCAAATACCTTTTCTTTTCTCCAAGTTTTCTACTCAGGCAATTTCTGATTAGAATCTCTTATTCATCCCATGTTCTACTTTTAAGCTCCGAGTCTCATTATGTCATTACTGACAAGTGAAGGACGGAAGGAACTCCTAAGGTCCCCATTCACCCCCGAAAGACCCCACAAGCTGATATGATCAGCATGTACCGTTGTGGAGAAGTCTTCTTTCCATTTTGAACTGCTGATTGTATCAAATCCCAAGTACCTTGGGAAGAGTACCTCGGTGGCCGCGTATCATGAGGACATTGCAGAAGGGATTAGGGCAGTGCGTGTTATTTAAGAAATTGTCTCCTAGATCTGAATTAATTTTGAGTGATGATCTTCTTTTTGTTCCAAAAAACAAGAAAAGTCAATTAATACCTATTGTTACTTGCTCGCCGCACGCCCAAAAGATGCACGCCTCATCTTTCGAAAACGAGATCCGCGATGTCATTATCATCGGCGCTGGGCCTTGTGGATTGGGCGTCGCTGCCCGCTTACAAGAAGAAACGCCCTCGGCAATGTTCACGGATGAAGAGCACCAGCGATATCATTGGATTAAAAAGCATACGGGGAGGATGAAGCTTGTCCAGGCGGGACACAGCAAGTTGAATGGGGTACGGGCGGAGAAATGGAATGCAGCGAAGAAATGTCCCTGCGATATTAAGCAGGGAGAACATAATCAGAATATGAATGAACGCCGAGGATCAATCGATTCGGTATCGTCTGTGCCTTCGCTTTCGTCTTCTACTGCCTCCTCCGATTCGACATATTCCACTCTTGTTCTCGACGGCACGGGCGATAAATGGATGCAACGATGGAATAATGCTTTCCGTACTTTGGAAATAAAGCAGCTACGCAGTCCGATGTTCTTTCATCCGGACCCCGGTGATCGGGATGGTATGCTGGCCTATACACAAGAGGTGGGGCGGGAGAGTGATCTGTGGGAAATTTCTGGTTGTGTTGGGAAAGAAATGAGCAAGCATAAGAAGAAGAAGAGAAGACAAGGTGGAAAGCAGCAGTGAGATTTGCAAACAGCAACCCTTGTCGAAAATCGGATCGAGTGGCTAACATATAGTGTTTCTTATGTTGACAGGTCCATCGGAGGCGAGATCGACGAAAGAGACCGCAAAGACTACTACTCCCCATCTACGGATCTCTTCACAGACTACTGCAACTCCATCATCGACAGATATAATCTTGATGGACAAGGTCAGATCTTAAAGCAGGAGATCACCGGGATCACATACGATTTCCTCCCCGAGCGTGGGGATGTACCGGTATCAAACTCGAAGATATTCACTCTTACTTCCTCAACCGGCCAAAAGTTCTATAGCAAAGCCGTAGTGCTTGCGATAGGAGCCGGTGGAGCGGGTATATCCAAAATACTCCCTTGGAAGCCATCGACAGAGGAAGAAGGTGCCTCGGCATGCTGCCACAGTATGGAAATTAAGACTTTCCCAAGTCCGAATGTGAAGAATAAGATCCGGCGCCGACAGCAAACCAATGTGGTGGTTGTGGGAGGTGGATTTTCCTCAGCGCAGATCGTCGATATGGCTATTCGGAAGGGAGTGACCAAGGTGTGGTTCTTGATGCGTTCTGATATGAAGGGTGAGTATTAGTGTGCCCGCGGAGAATTCTTGAATCGTGCATTTAAGGTTCAACCCATGGATTTTTCTACCAGTAGTAGTAGTGGTGCTACTACTACTAGTATCGGTGATATTCACATGCTAACATAAATTCCAACTAGTCAAGCATTTCGACATCAGTCTACCCTGGATGGGAAAATATAAGAACTGGGAAAAAGCAGCATTTTGGTCTGCTGACACTGACGAGGGTAAGAAGATAACGACTCAACTCCTTCTTCCACCAAGGGATAATAATCATCTGACCTCATTTGTATAGAGCGCCTGGAAATGATCAAGGTGGCCCGAAATGGTGGTAGCATCACGCCCCGCTACACTCGGATCGTGAAGCAGCATGCCGCGCATCACCGCGCGTCGATCCATCCGCGTACGGTAATTAGCTCGCATAAGTTTAATGCAGAGACGCAGACTTGGAGCTTGGTTACCGATCCACCGATCCCGGAGCTGCCCCCGATCGACTACATCTATTTTGCGACAGGGGCAGGCGCCGATATCCGCCAAATGTCCTTACTGAGTGATATGAATGCCCAATACCCAATCGAAGTTAAAGAAGGACTGCCCTGTTTGACGGATGATCTCATGTGGCGAGAAGACGTACCTTTGTTCATGACGGGAAGAATGGCAGGGCTCCGATTAGGGCCCGGAGCTCCGAATCTCGAAGGCGCGAGACTTGGTGCGGAGCGGATCGCCTGGGGCCTGGAGGAGATTCTGGAGAAGAAGCAAGAGGTTG